GCGGCTCCAGCCTGGCCAACAGTCGTAAGTAGTAGACGCCCTTGAGGTGCTCTGTCTCTCTCACTCTCTCTTTCTATCTGTACTCGATTAATTTTCAATATTAATTTTTGAATATTTATGATGTTTTACGCATTTACGTTTTTTATTTTGTTTATTCTTTTCGCTTTTCCCCCTTTTTTGTGTTTCAATAAAAACAACAAATCAACCAAATGATAAATTATAAATTGCTCAAAACTGTAAAAAAAAAAATTCCATTACATATCGCCAAAGTGTAAAATAAATTCCCAATTATTAATATATGTATAAACCAAAAAAAAAGAACTCAATATTATACACAATATATAAAATATTTGTATATATTTCATATATTATTATATATCTTATGCACCCATTTTATATTTTTTATTCAAAATTTGAAGGCGTTTTTTGAAGTTTTTTTTTTAGTTTTTGGCAATTTATAAAGACAAAATTTTGATTTAGTTATCGCCAACTAATTTAATGAACTTTCAACATTCCAATTGTTAGAGGGCTAAATTTTTGTCATTTGTAGTTTGTATAAATTTTTTCTATGTAAATATTTGGCAAAAGATTTTTTTTATTGGTCTGGTCTAATTAATTAGTTAATAATTGATGCACTGTAATTGAAAACAATATTTCAATATCTATATTTTGTTAACTCGAATCGTGCTCCGCCAAAACAAATGGAATGTTGTCAGTTGTTGCTTTTTCTTTTCGCAATCTGAACAACAACAAGATTTACCCAATGTGCCCTTAACAATGCATGTGTTGAGTTATATTTTTACTTTTTCTCTCTTCTTTTATGAATTAAACCAATGTATTGTTTTTGTTGGAATGATGCTAACCCTGCCCAAAAATAAAACAAATAAATTAACAACAAACACCACACATTTAATAAAAAAAAAAACAAAACATACAACAAAATCAATATCAACGTATAAAACAATACCAAAAAAATAAAACCACACACACACACGCATCAATATATGAAATAAAAACAAAACAAACAAAAAATAGCAACATCCACAAGCTCGTCAATGCTTGAGCCACGATTTGATTCAGTTTCTTCAACGCCAGAGCCGACGCCAGAGTCGGCACAGCTTTCAGACAGTCCCGTGCAGCAGCTGGAGAGGGCAGCCGCAGGAGCAGCGGCAACTAATGGCATCAGCACCACAATAACCACAACAACAAAGCTGGTGGAGAACGCTGAGCTGAGCAGCCCCAATGCGAACACAACAAAAACAACAACGACCACAACCACAACAGAGGAATCAACCAGTGAAATGGCAGCTAATGGTAAAGAGACAACGACAACAACCACAACAACAACAACAGCAGGAGCAGCAGCGACGGCCGCATCAAATGGCAACAACAATGAAGTGGCAGCAGCACCACCCACAGCCACTAGCACCAACAGCAACTCCACCACCACTACCACTACGGCAAAAGAGCCCGGCAAGCAGCCGAAAGAGCTGCCGGATGGTCAGTCGAATGCCAATGGCAATTCGAGTTCGCTTGAGGAGCACAAGCAAAAGAAATTAGGTAAAGAAACAACAACAACAAACACAAATACAACGCACTCAGTTACAGATACAGAAACAGTTAGCGTTAGCCAAAACCAATTAGTTAATAGCCAAACTGTTAATAAGCATTCTAATAAAAATCCCTTCGACGAAGATGACGAGCGCATCTACGAAGTGCCCAAGGGTGAGTAAGCTCCCACAATCTACGAACAAAAACTTCAAAACTGGGTCTGTCTGTGCATTTACTTCTCTACACACTTGTGTCTGTCTGTCGTATTGCTGTCTCTCGTTGGGCGCCAACCACCAAAATCCACCAAACAATCAAACCACCCACTCACTCACTCAACAACAAGAAACACTCAAACATATTTTGAAAGTCTCTGTATACTCTATTATACTATACTGAATGGATTCACTTGGTTGCCCGATAGAGTCTGAGAGCGTCTGACAGCGGCTTGTCTATTGTACTATATTGTATCTCTAAAAAGCTTCAGTTTCTGTTGATGATGTCCTGTATCTGTACTTCGTAAACTTAACCGCAAATTGTAAACAACTGGGCCAAAGCATGTGCGTTTCGGGCGAATCAATAATTTAAATATATATATAATATTCGATTCTCAGGCAGTCATCAGCCTTGCGAGTCTACATTTAGCGGTGCCTTTTCATACAAGTATATAAATAAATCTCGCATCATTTTATTACACAATTTGGATTGCAAAGTAAACAGCTGTTAAGATTTGAATTTCGATTACAGCTCTGTAGAGTTAACATACAACTTGAAGATTACTTGTGTGACGCCGTCTAACCATAGATGGCGCTAGCTGGCAACTGTTTACTTTGAAATGCACCTTGAGCACATTCACCACAATTATCTGTTTCACGCGACTCATCTGTCTACTATTCTTAGATTATATGCTTGTATATATCGTTGTCACACACAAAGCAATGGGATATACAAACTGTAGAAATAAATTTTGAAGGCTGCTCTAAATTTTAAGTGGAAATTGTTGGTAATAAAATGTAAACAAATGGAAAAAAGAAACACTGGTTGCAGGTGTCTATCAGCAAGTAGGCTCTCTAGTCTTAAGTCGTACTCACTCATTTGATCATTAAACAAACAAACAAACATCGCTTGCACGTTCGCTGCCTAAGTCTTTTGTTTAATCGATGGAGCTAATTGCCGACGTAATAATACCTAAAAGCTACCTATTAAACCCGACTAACCCATATAGGCTGCAAGTTGTGTTTTTTTTTTAAATTACATATATTAACAGCAAGCTCTGTTCTTGCCTATGCGTTTTGTGCACTAAAAACAGAGTTTATGCATATCTATATCTATATATAAGAATAATGTAATTGTACAGCAATCGATGCTACTTAACGGCAAATCTTTTCTGAATCGAGAGTATAAATTGAACTGGAACTTTATTCACAGATGCCAATACCGCTGATTTGCCACCTGGTGTGCTATATCGCGTTAAGGCGACCTATGGCTACGTCAAGGAGGATGTCGACGAGCTGAGCTTCGAGATTGGTGACATCATACGCGTCATCGAGTACGATGATCCCGAGGATCAGGTAAAACCATTTTCGTTGCCACACGCTGAAATTGTTGTTATGACTTAAGAGAATCCCTGTTTGTGAGTTAAAGCATGCGCTAGTTGCCCCTCCGAGTGTTATGATCGAGAATTTCATTACTTGTTTTTATTGAATGCAGTTTTTTATTACCAATTTACAGGAGGAGGGCTGGCTAATGGGTCAAAAGGAAGGCACAAACGAGAAGGGCCTGTTTCCGGCCAACTTTACGCGTCCCATTTGAAAAGCTGACGCAGCGACGATGACGGGATAAATTCAAAACAACTAAATAAACAACATGCAACAACAACTACAACAAAAAGAACCAGAACAACACCAACAAGAACACCAACTTCAGCCCCCTATTTTTGTTATACAACTTATATATACAAAAAACAAAAAGAAAACACAGTTTTTACATACATATTATACAAATTTTTAAGAACGAACTTAAATACTTTCGGCCAAATTTTCACACAGCGCTGCGTCGCCTTATATATAAATATTTTTTTTCTCCTGTCCATAAGCTCCACTAGCTGGGGTCATGATTTTTGTAAAATTAACTGTTTGGATTAATTTGTAATTCGTACTTGAATAAACAGTCGTGTATTTGTTAGAGCAGTGCTTCCAAACATTATTTTAAATATAATTATTATTACTATTACTCTTCTTATTGTTGAGAGAAATGATTGCACATACAAAATATTTTGAAAATGTTTCATAAATATTATTTTCCTAGTTGTAAGAGAGATAAACACAAACACAGACATAAACACATACACACATATATATACACACACACACACGTAAAAAAATATTATTTGTTAAATCTATTATTGTGCTCATAATTAATACGAACAAAATGTATCTAAATTATAATTTGTTAGAAAACCAAAAGGTACAGACGAACAAGTTAACGCATATCACTCGATGAGGACCATGTTTCAAACATCTGCGAGTCGAGAGGAAGATAACCTTTTGTATATGTATGTACATGTAGTACGAGTTTTTTTGATAGTCAATTGAACGTTTTGTTTTATTTTTCTTTTATTGGAGAGAAGAAACCGGAAATAAGCTTTTTGGCATTTCTTTGGTATATTGGAAGACGACATTAAATTGCTTTAATTCAATTAAATTAAAATATAAAATTTGTAGCTGTTATTTAGTTGAAAAGAAAAACCGAGCGAAATTCTCGAAATACATAGCAAGAGCAGGCAGCCTTATAACATTGAGAAAAAGCCAACCAATAGTCACTAACAGATCCATAAACCCTTATTATAATCTTGTAAAACAAATCGAATAAATTGATGATAACCAGTTTGAAGTTTGTTGGCGCCAATAGAATCGAGAAGCACAGAGAACCGAAATACACAATTTTTGTTTTTCTAATCTGTACTGTAAAGTTATTATATTAATATTATTTAATTAATTTAAACATTTATTTATCGCATGAATACATTGAACAAATGATAATAATTTACAGCAAATCAAATAAAACATAGATTAAACAAAATACCAGCGTCTATTTATTAAAGAGAAAACGAATCTTTAGGAGCTTCTCTCGTACAGTCTTCATAGTCTTACACTCTTCAAACTAAAATAACGTATTTTGAAATATGCAGCAGATAAGCATAAATCATATTTGAAATAATATCGATAGTTCTTTTACTTGAATTTGTTTGTGCTGGTCACTCATATTAAATGATTTCTTAAAAGCTGGTCCCATTATTTGAATATTGTTATGAATATTTATTCGATATAAAATCGATATTTAGTTGCCTGCTGTGGCATTGCTAAAAATTCTAGTAGCAGCCCTGGTAAAAATGAACGTATGACGTCAAAAATTCTGCGCAATCGAAATTGCGCACATCTAAGTGCTACCTTGTAAATTTCATGCAATCATGCTCCTATGTCGGTGACTCTTTCGTGTGTGTTGGTGTTGCGTTAATAAAAAAGTGTAAATACTTAAGAAAATTTAAGAGTTGACAAAGCAAAAAAGTCACTACGGGTCGTGTGTTAACGTTAACCGAACAATGCAAAATCAAATATGTTGTGAGTTTCAATCGAATATCGACGCACCGACAAAATCCAGCAGCAGCAATAGTAGCCTATTCTAAAATACCATCCCCAACTCACTTGGAGTTCATTCAGTTTAATTTAAAATTTGGGCGTTGTTTTGTGCGGGTAGATACCTAATGAAATCATGAGCATAGGCAAAAATAATGGCACATAATTGTTAAACAATTCGGCGTGCCAGAATCGACAATTTTTCTGGCCAAAATTTTTTCATGTTCGTTTTTGCCTCGCCCTCGCTCTGTGTGTATAGCAGTGCGCGTGTGTGTATAGAGGTGCGAGCGAAACAGATATACAGCTACAGGGCACTATCTATCTATCCTATCAGTGATATCTGTATGTCTTATTTGCATTGTGCACTTATGCTTATGTTGCTCATTGAGCACATTTCATTTGTTAAATAATTGCATTTCGTGTTTAATTTATTTGCACTTGTCATCAAGCGCAGATGCCCATGCAATTGCTAACGTTTGCACAGCCAATTTTAGCGGTGACAACACTGCAGTGCACTGCTTGCCCGAGCAAACAGCATGTTTTGGCATTATTTAGCACATTTTGCGAACCCAAACCGTAAATTCTATATAATTTTTTTTTTTTTTTTTTTTTTTTTTTTTTTTACAAAATGCAGTGGGTGCTAAATGGACATAAAAAGTTTATGTTACTATGCCCGCATACTACAGATTTGGAAAACCACACAGTCGTCGTCAGTGTTCGTTAAATCTACTATAGGACCATAACTCCTAGTTAATTCTTCATTTAAGCACAAAATAGTTGCTCATAGCAGAACTCTTCGCTATTGGGTGGGGTGCGTGGGAGGATTTTGCTGGTGCGGCTGCTGCTGCTGTTGCTCCATATAAACGAAGTGTTTCCAAACCATACAATGAAAATGTTAATGTATATGTAAATGCAAATGTTCTTTTTATTGCAGTTCCACTGCATACCGGAAAATAAACAAATACAAGAAGCATAAAGTATGCAGAAAATTAAATACAAAAGGAGCATTTAAGTGTTGCGTGTGAAAGAAAAGCAAAAAACAAAAAATAAGAAATTAACCGTTGTGCTCGTCGTCATAAAAAGTTTTCGTTTTAAATTACCAAATAACAAATTACAAATCTTCGTTGCATTTAAAAGAAGAAAAACTAATAAATAACAAGCAGAAAGTGGAACAAGTTACAAAAGCACAAAACTGAACAGACAAATGCAACAGTAAAGAAATTAGTTAAAATAATTATGCATATAAAAACAACTACACACGTTCCTTAAAACTAATGTTTTCCAAACGCAACTAAATCAAACGATAAAGATTAACAAAAAAACAAAAAATAAAAACAAAATAAACGACACGTCGTGAAGCAACGGAAACATCACCTCATAAAGCATAACCACATAGGAATTAAACATACATACATACATACATATACATACGCACATACATACATTCATACATACTACTTATATGCATAATTTGTACACATATATATATAAATCCAAACAAAAAACGACACCGATTTAAATTAACTGCAGGGAAACAATACGATAAACCAGAAAAGCAAACAACTTTTTTATTATTATTATTATTTAGTGCTAGTACATAAAACGACCAGAGACTCTAATTTGATTAACAATAAGAAGCTCATCAAGTGAAGCAGCCACATTTGGATATTCTCGTCTTATAAAGTGCATTCATCGTCATCGTCGTCGTCAATAGCCTGCAGCTTGGCTTCGGTTCATTCATATGTCTCTGCTCATCGGCATACACAACCGTTAGATTAATGCGTAAGTATGCATATATGTATGTAGATTTAAAAGCTATGCGTAGTAGGTAGTCAATAAAGATGGGACTTCTATTTAAAGTATTACATTTAATTTAATAACTTTTATTTCCATTCAATCGGATGCGGAGACTTGAAACTTGCTGGAAAACTGAAAAGTTTACATCAAAGTTTTGTAGTTTTTCAAAACTTTCTGCAACTTTGTTTCGTCCAGTTTAGCGTATATAGGAATAGATGATATCTAAGAGTTATGCTACATCTTGGCCACTTGTTGCTAAGCCTTTTGCACATTTTATGCTATACTTTCTTAGGCCTGATAAGAGGTATGAATAATAATGCGGACCTAAGCTATATATATACATATATATTTATATATATGACTTATGAGTAATGCCGACAATTAACGGAATGCAGTCAGTCAGTCATTTGCTATGATACCCTGTTGCCCTCAAAAGTGGGTGTGGGTGTGGACGTGTATAGGGGTTGGTGGTTGGGTCTAGTATGTTTGACCAGGGAACTTGCGACAAACCTGTTGAAATTTCTATTTATTTGGCTTGGCGTATTCGTGTTGGTGTTGGTGTTTATAGGGCGAGGATGAGGTGGCGATCAACAGTATATTCTATATATATGCAATCATATAAAATTGTTGAACCTTTTTAACAACCGACCCGAGCTTCTAGCTGAGTGCGCCTTATCAAGCTGCCTCCAACTCATCTAGAAATGTAGAGTTTATCTCAGTTTCTTTATCGGACTAGTGCTACTGTTTGTTGTCTAATGTGCCTGATAATCGCTTCACCCACTTATTCCCTCTGAGTTGACTTTGATTTATAAACTATGCAGTGCGTATATACGGTGGAATACCCTGCGTTTTTAAATAATTTAAAGTAACTGCATTGTTTATTATCTACAAAATGCCTATAGACACGATCTTTTCTTCTTGTTTTTGTTTTCGGTATGTAGTATGGCAATTAATTTGCTTTTTTATGTTGCCAGTTTCCGAAAACAATTTAAATTGTTTACATGCTTATTACGTGCAGTGGGCGCTTCTGGAATGCCTAGCAAAATAGTTTGGGAACATCGCTTCTTGTTTTTTTTTTCTTTTTTGGTAATTTAATAATTTTTGCCCGTTGCACGCAGACAAAAACACAGACAAACAAAACAAAAAGTGTAATCAACCTTTTTGTGTGTATATATAGTATGTATAAACATTATATATATGTGATTATGTATGTACATATATATGCATTAATGTGTATAAACGAGTATTGCTCATATGCGTAGCCACATTTGTATGTATACAAAAACCGCATTACTCTACTTACTTATTGGAAACCACACATAATTCTAGAAATTCGGAATTATAAATATCAGTTATGAATAAGAGCTATTTACAATGTTTGCAAAACATAACACAGCTATGGAATATAAATGGAAATTAGCATTACGTCGATCATGCTGTCAGCTTATGATCAGTGTTGTGGGAAAATCAGCCGAGTTGTATCCAGAATTTCCTAGTTTTAGGCAAGGCCAATGTGCATGGGCATGATAATTCGCAAGATCTTGTGAAAGTTTTGTTTTTACGCCCACTTGACATAGCTTGATAAATTTGTTAAAGTACTGATAATTGAAATTTCTTGTAGTGCTCGAAAAAGAAAACAAAAGAAAACAATTTTTTAAAATGATTCAGAGCTTTAATGTAAACTAAGTTAATAAAGTAAAATATTTAAAAGGAAATATTAATTAAATTGCTTGGTTTATTCCATTTCAGGTGTTTATGAACAGGCGGATTACTACGTGAATCTGTTGAAGTCGTCGTGTTCGATGTGGTCATCGTATTTGTACTCCTCATTGTCAGAGAGATGCACCAAAGTCTGTTTAGGAAGATAGTAAACTGAGTACTGACTACCAACAACGGAACAGAGTTAACCCCCGCAGAACGACACATATACACACACACACACACACACTCGGACTCGGACTCACACATACACACATAGACACACACGAAATTACGCGCACATACAAGAAACGGACTGCAAAGAAGAGAATCCTTTAAAGGAAATTAAGCAATAGCCAAAGAGAGCCTGAGTGTCGTAGGAAACAGCGAGCAACGCCAAAGTACAAATGCTCACGAGCAACTAAGTAAATCGAAATTATAAACAAAAGAAAACATTCAACAATTTATATAGGACAACCTTAGAGAGCAACAAAACACTAACGGGATCTAAGCAATTTTTCGGCTAAATATAGAAATATAATAAAAATATAACAAGAAGAAGCTTAAGAAACAGCAACACCAAAAACAAACAAAAATAATAAAATTGGATTTAGTGGGAAAACTCCAACCACTACTACCATATAAACCGGATAAACCCTACTACCGCACAACTGAAAGATTTACGCACGTCACGGAGCGTAAGGCAGGGACTGCAGAACGCGTAAGCGTCCTTTAATCCAGTTAGCATGGAGTGCTGTTTATCGGAAGAGGCCAAGGAACAAAAGCGGATCAATCAGGAAATCGAGAAACAGCTGCGCCGTGACAAGCGAGATGCGCGACGTGAACTTAAACTGCTCCTACTGGGTGAGTAGTCATTCACCTGCCCATCAATCTATCTGCCGCCACGAGTCCAACAGTCCATTCAGCAGCCAACGGCGAACAGCCTTGACCCATAAATGTACATATATGTAAAAGTGGCGGCCATTGATTGTTGCACTCCCGGCTAATGGCTGACGGCTGATGGCTGATGGTCGATGGCCGATGAAGGCGTGTTTGCTTCAATTAGTATGCGAAATTGTATTAGTGATATGATACATGCACGCACACATCCATATGTACACACACACACACGCATATGCAGCTTTATGTATGTCACGTGATTGAATTTCGCCCCTGGGTGCGGGTGCTTAATGCAATTGCAATTTATTGCGGCTGTTTGGTATCGCAGCATTTTTGCTAATTAGTAGAGAGTGCACTGACTGTGGTGTGTGGTGCACTGCGGCTTGTTGTGGCAGGTTCGAGTGATTCGATAGCAGACTAATGCCGCATTTGCTTTTTCCATATGCACAGGCACGGGCGAGTCCGGCAAATCAACGTTCATCAAACAGATGCGTATTATCCATGGCAGCGGGTACTCGGACGAGGACAAACGCGGCTACATTAAGCTGGTGTTCCAAAATATATTCATGGCCATGCAGTCAATGATCAAAGCCATGGATATGCTCAAAATATCATACGGCGTTGGCGAGCATAATGTAAGTATTATCAGTGGACAACTAAAAACTATATATTCATGAATATAATTCGTTTGCAGGCGCTCGCTGATCTGGTGATGAGCATTGACTATGAAACAGTTACAACATTTGAGGATCCCTATCTAAATGCCATAAAAACGCTGTGGTCTGATGCTGGCATACAGGAGTGCTACGATCGCCGAAGAGAATATCAGTTGACCGACTCCGCTAAATAGTGAGTTAATTGTTAGATGTGGAACACCACTGCCACAACTAGATAATAGAGCTGACAACAATCAAATTGACAACATTTTATTATAATCAAGGAATACTTTGATATACTAAATACGATTTCATTCTTATATATGTATTATGTATAGTTATCTGATGGATCTCGATCGTGTGGCTCAACCTGATTATTTACCCACTGAACAAGACATTTTAAGAGTGCGTGTGCCGACAACGGGGATCATTGAGTATCCCTTTGACTTAGAAGAGATCAGATTTAGGTAGCTACAACGACTCCAATGATATCGATTTGCATGTGTCTAATACTGTTCTTTGGTTATTGGTTAATTGTTTCGTTTAATTGTTTCCTTTCTAACCAGCACAATTTGTGGAATTTGTCTACACATACCATATCATTAAATATAAGTAAGAGTAGCTTTGATACTAGAACTATTAACGATCATTTAGGCTGACCGAATTTAGCGGACAAAACAAACAAACAAATTAAGACAAAAGAGTTTTAGCAATGTATTTAAAAATCATCAAACATATCTATATATACATATATCTTCCAATCAGCTACCTTGACAATTTAGATCGCATAGGGCAGCCTGATTATGTGCCTTCTGAGCAGGATATATTGCGAAACCGTTCGCCGACATCTGGAATACAACAATATAGTTTTGAGTTGCATCCACTTGTTTATAGGTATATCAGTCTATCGCATCTATCTCAATATTGCTAAAATTGATCAAACTAAAGCAAAGTAGTAACACAATTTGTGTGTGTGTGTGTAACAACAAATGCAACAAATACAACATTCCAGCAATATCTCTGTGCATATCATTTTCCTTCATTTACTGTATTGGTTTGGCTTCTCGCTTACTTTATTAATCACTTAATTTGGCTTTTTATTTAATAAGTCATTGCTGCACTATCGAATTATTCATTGTCTAATGCATTATTATCTATCAAATGCAGAATGGTGGATGTCGGTGGTCAGCGCTCGGAGCGAAGGAAGTGGATTCATTGCTTTGAGAATGTTACCTCAATAATATTTTTGGTTGCACTATCCGAATACGATCAAATCTTGTTTGAATCTGATAATGAGGTGAGTATAATGACATCTTTAAATTCTTCTTTTGCAATTAATAAATGTTTTTGTTTGTACATTACAGAACCGCATGGAGGAATCAAAAGCTTTATTTAGAACTATTATTACATACCCGTGGTTCCAAAATTCATCAGTAATTCTATTCCTTAACAAGAAGGATTTGTTAGAGGAGAAAATTATGTATTCGCATTTGGTGGACTATTTTCCTGAATACGATGGTGAGATATCGTTCTGCAGCAGCTTCACTTATGCAATCCCTTTAGATCTATTGCTAACGCTAGAGTTGTAGTTGTGCTAGTTTGGAGACTGATCGTATTTATTTTTAAATTGGTAACAGGTCCACAGCGAGATGCAATCGCAGCCCGTGAATTCATACTGCGCATGTTTGTAGACTTAAATCCAGATTCCGAAAAGATTATCTATTCTCATTTCACCTGTGCTACAGGTAAGTAATGCTTACTGAATTGCTGCTTATGTATGTATATAGCGTGAATGCTTTCTGCTGAAAATTAACAATTGTAAATAGCTCGGGATTAGCCTTTAAATATATATTTTTCGTTTTGCTGCCTGCCCGCTGCAAGTAGTCGCTAGCCAGTTCTTCTCAATGAATACCAAATGAAATAGTTACTAAATAACTGAGCTATTTTAGATACGCGTAACATCTATCTCGTGTTCAGCGCTGTGAAAGATTTTATTTTGCAATCAGCACTTATAGCCGTCGGCTTAGATTGAGCGATGCAATATTACTCTCAGTTGTTTAATGGAATATCTATGGGGATGCTAACCCCCTAACAAATACATCAATACAATATATTACATGCATTAAAATTTGTATGCTTTCTTTTTTATTTGTTATTAAAATATAGAGTAACTTGCAATCTTTTGTTTTATTTGAATTATTATATTCCGAGTCGTTTTAATCGACATATCACTTGGGGTAATCTGAAAAGCATGCTGTACATCTGGTAATGGTTACAATGACAATTATATATTTGTGTGTGTTCTCTATAAAAAAAAGTACACAAAACTAATAGCGATTTCTTTTCTCTTCTATAGATACTGAAAATATAAGGTTTGTGTTTGCAGCTGTAAAGGACACGATTCTGCAATCCAATCTTAAGGAATACAATTTGGTCTAAACTGGATTTGGATCAGAAAACTATTTTTGTGATTTTTATTATACATATATATACAGAACGTATATGTATGTACATATATATATACTTATATATATGCATATATATAAAAATATATAAACATTCATAATTCCTTTTTCGCATATTAATAAAAAGAAAACAAGAAAAAAATTAAAAAAAAAAAAAAAAAACAACAACAAAATAAAACAAAGAAAGAGAAAAAAAAAAAAAAAAAAAGAACACTAATAATGTTTGCCGAAGATTAAGCATAAATTAGACCCAGAACACAAGTTTCTTAAATTGTAAAATCAGCGGAAAATTGTAGCATAAATTATACAAAAACTGATGGGGAAAAAGTATAATAATTAATAATGATGATGATGCGATCGCTGTATACAATTTAATTTGTGTGAAATTAAAAGAAAGTACGAGTAATGTAATAATAATATTTAAAATTCATTATTAGAGAACTTTTGTAATAAAATTGATAGAAAATTGAGGAAAAAAATGATAACAAACACAATTAACTTTAATTTAATCAAACGCTTAAAAGGAACAACAAATGGAAACAATTTTTGTCGTACTGAAGCATAAACATTTTACTGAAGCAAACAAACAACAAATTGTAACTTATAAACAGATAGTAATTTTTCATAAACAATAAATGTTAGAAATTTCTCATAATAATAACAATTTTGATGATCACAACAAATCCTGTAAACTAACTAAACAAAAGGAAGAAAACCAACAACAACAACAACAACAAAGAAATCGCAGATATAATACTGAATTTTTATTAAGCTACAAGCGTAAAATTGTAACTATTGTTTACTGAAATATTTATATACATAAATACAAGCCCATAATATGTGTATATACATTACATACAAACATACACGCATACACGTATAAATACATAGATAACTATGTAATGTTTACAAAATTTATTAATTTGTACTGTGCGAAAGAATCATTCAAATGTAAATTACAAATCCTACTACTAATTACACAGAGACACGTACGCACACACACACACACACAAAATAGGGAAACGATTGTAAACGTGATGATTAAGTACTAGTGTAATAATGAATCACTAAACAAGAAATTGATAAACGCATTTGTATTTTACAAGTGGCAGCCAGATTACATCTATATCTAATTAATTACTTAACACGTTCTCATACCTGCAGCTTAACCATAATTAGCGACAGTAACACAGTAACAAAAACAACAACAACAACAGTCATAATCATCAATATTAAAACTAATTAATGCCTATATGTTATACATACATACAACTACGTAAGAACCTACTATCAGAAGCAGCTAATCTTGATGCCATCAACAAATTTTCCATAAACTGAAAAAATAAACTTAAAAAAAAATAAAAATAAAAAATTATATATACATATATATATATATAACTAAATACTAAAAAAGGAAACAAAAGATGATGATCATAAACTAAATTGTTAACAAATTGTATCATTTGAGAGGAGAATAAGTTTTGAAAGAATTGTAGCTTGATTTATTTCGCATAATATTCTTACTATAACTACTTATATATTAATTATTATTTTGTTAGTCTGTTTTGCTTATGTTATAGACAATGTTTTGTTTTTGTTTTTAAATTTTAGTTTAATTTAATCTACAGCTATAGAATGTTAGTAAAGTAACAAAACGATGCGCACATTTTACCGAAAAGCAGCAAAGAAAATACAACAAAAAGAAAATGAGAAAAAAATGAATAAACAACTCCAACAACAAAACAAAACTATTTATGTAAAAATCCAAATAAACACAATTTTACTCTATGTATATGTGGTCAAAACTAAATGAAAACACGCACACCTACACACACACACACACACACACACACATACAATACATACATGTATATGTAAAATAAATATGAATCAAACTATGCTTTTCATAGATTTATATATTTTGAACTGTTTTATAGAGAGAGCGAGATCAAGAAATTTTAAGTTTACCCCTTGAACTTTTAGCGGTCCATAGCTGGGGCGAGGGTAAACAAGAATGCAGAGGAAAGTAAAGGATTGCACCTCTTTCGATTAGAGCTTAATTATGATTGAATTAGTTCAGCTGTTTTCGACAGTGTAAATCTTCCTTTTCTGGTTATCTTAACACACACTCACAGATTTGCTATTATGGACATTAAAAATAAATAACTAAAATGAACTTTCCTATTTGAAATACTTATATATATATATATAGGATTATAGATAAATGCATATAACACACATTTCTCGTAACCTCATTTACATACACAAGCTAGTGTAATCGGCATCAAAATATCCATTTAACATTAAAGACCGTACAACTCCGCCGTTATAATTGTAATACGCATCTAGAATTTAAGTAAGATTCAACAGTGTGTTGTATAAAGCTTTAATCCACGTAAACCGAAGATGTAGTAAATGAAATGAATAACAAAATTTTTACAATTAATAAATTGATGAATTGATTAGCTTTTAAAAAGCTTGATTAAGTCAATAAATGTGTATTTATATAAGGCTAAAAAAAAAGAAAAGCAAAAAAAAAAAAAACATGCGTACCGAATTTTTCGTTGTTTACAAGAAGAAGAAGACATACGAAGTGAAATGCTCGGCTAGCCGAAATTAAAAGGCCTAACGGAAGAAAGAGAAAAGAAGGAAACGTCATCATTGCTGCGATAAGTCGACAGAGGAATATTTATAGTAGGGATTCTAAAGTTGGTTTGTGCTCGACAAGGCTTTTGAAAGGATGACTCGTTACAGAACCAAAAGAGAAGAAAAAGAAACCGAACTAAAAGGCATACAAAGAGTTTAGTTCTTATATCAGATGATGCGACCCCGTCAAAGGGGAGACATCCAACAAGTTTTACAACGGTTCAGGCAGAGGAGCTGTACATTTTGTATTAGCATTACAAACACAGACGCCCACACACACACACGCACATACACAAACACACACATATACTTATATAGTTTTCCGTCCAATGAATTGCATCGGTGAGCAGAGAAAAGTCTCCAGTATTTTGGTTGACATTGACCACACATTCATTTCGCAGGCGAATCCTCAGAGAGCAAGCTGAATATCCTTATTTGGGAAACATACCATACCATAACTATAGTTCCATAATATTGATTTCGTTTTGCGCTTTTGTGTTCGATAATATTATAGAAAATTTCGGTTTGAATATAAATGAAAACAAAAATAACATTTGGCGGTTTCAACGACAATTTTTCAGTTTTGGCAAAAGCAAAAATTCGTAATTTTTAACGCGTTGCATATGTATATGTAGTCGATATGAACATATGAACATACCACATATATTTATAATAAAAACTAAATTAACGAAAAGGAAAAGAAAAGGGAAAGACGAAGAAAACAAACAGAAAATAATAAAAAACATACATACATAATAAACAATTTGGTTTAGTTAGCGTTTTGTGCCTTCTAGTGCTCATTAAATCCATGAAGAAGACCCTGGCAGAAACATTAAAGTAAAATGTACGTATATGAGAAAAGCATATACATTAAATATAAATACATATTTAAGAAGAGTGTTTTATGTTTTGAGATTTGTTATATAATTTGTCATGTGCATTTTGTTTTATTCATTTGTTTGTTGTTGTTTTCAACTTTTCAGATAAAACATTTGTATGTGATCCATTGATTGTTGTTTGGGTATTTGACTTGTTTTGGTTCTTAGATTATTTGAATGTGAGTTTTAAGTTAAGGGACAAGTTTAGCAGACAAGTTTGTATGTAAATATTTATTAGCTTAACTCAAGCTCAAAATGAAGCTATATATAATAATACAATTGAGCAAAAATTTGATATAAATTGATAAATAATGATAAAAATATACTTAAGTATATGATAAATATGCATACCTATGTATGTTGAAGTGTGTACAAGTATTTTGTATTTTTATATACAAAATTCAAGAACTGCAGGCTAACGGAACATAGAAGCATTTGAATACATTTCAATTGTATATGTTTGTATTCTTGTGTAAACTATAAAAGAAAAAAAGAAAATAGATAAAACATAAACGGACTAAGAAAAATGAAATTTCGAACGAATCGAAAAGCATTCGAGAGGCAGAAACCAACAAGAACTAAAGAAATTAATTTAAAATGGGGTTTAGCTTAGAACATTTACTAACTAACGTACTTACGTGTGGAATTTGAGTTGTTGGGCATCTCGATTTACATATACATTGGTTACTTTTGCTGGGTAGTCGTACTTATATATGCATATGGAATATATAGAGACCATATTTCATAACATGCTTGAAAAGCTACTAAACTAATTCAATACATAATAATAATAATAACAACAACAAAAAGAACAAGAGTCTCTCCCTTTGACGTTGAAATTATGTAAAACTAGGCTAAAACAAAGTGCATAATATACAGAAAAACCAAAAAATCGAATATAACAAAATGAAAGAAAAAAGAAGAAAAGAAATTATGATTATAATATTCCACATCTTTAGGCTACTTTAAAAACTTTATATTTATTGTAAATGGAATTTGGAGGATGGTTGGTCAGTTTACTTGTGACGCTGATGATTTTGATGAATGAGAAATATTTTTAACGGACATATTTCTACATACATGTAAACATAAGTGCATACATATAGATATAAATCAAGAAGCTAACCCCCCACTATCCCACTCTCTCCCCTCCCCACCCACATAAAAACTGCATGCTTAGCTTAAGTCTTAAGGCAAACGCACGTCCTTAATTAAGTACGTACAAGCACACGCACACACACACACACACTCACAGAGAAGGAGACTTATCTGTATTCTCCCACGGACATACACACACATACACACTTAGATTCAGATGTATATGCAATTCTTTTCATTGAGTGTAAGATTTTCAACTTGTAGCATTTGAATTGATTGACTTTTTTATGGAAATTTACACAACACAAAGTGTGGGATTTGCACTCAATGAAAATTGCATATACGTGTGGGCGTGTTTGTGTGTGTCTACCAGTGAGTGTGTTTATGTGTGTGTGTGTGTGTGTTTGTTGTTTCTACACATTTGTCATAGAAATCATATTACAAAAGATACAAGTACTAGACAAAGAATTGATTGTATTGAGGTGGCAATGGTAACTAAGAAATTTTTTAGATAATTAAAAACAAAAAACCAGAAAAAAAAAAAACAACAAATGAAAAAGTATCTATGTACACCTAAATATATATATATATAAATATATATATTAAAAAAAAAAATAATATAATATAAATAAAAATATATTAAAAATAAAAAGTGATTTTTTTCTGTTAAAAATAAATACCATTGCGATTGCTTGCAGATATATTTAAACTTGACTGAGGTTTGTAATTGTACATATGTGTATGTGTGTGTGTGTTTGGCTGCTATATACTCGTATACAGTTACAATTGGATTACCAAGCCCTCAGTGGAAGACTGAAATCAGCAGCATATTACCAAAACAAACAGACACGAGTATGACACATTAGAGTGGACCAAGGACATAATTGGAGGCCGATGTTGTTAATTGAGAAATAAATAAAAATAAAATATCTCAACTTTTGCCAAAGCTAGTTAAGATAATTTAAGATCATTATCTATAATGCCTGCTAAAGAAAAATTTTTATTGTATATTTATAGCAACAAATCAATATGGAAATGCATCGAACCTAGACTAATCACAACTACTGGTCTATTCCTATATAGTTTTCATGTCTGCTGTATTCTTCTATATACTGTTTAAGGGCGGAAGTGTGTGGGGTCTTCCGCTAGACCAAGCCAAGAAGCCGTATAGTTACCAAAATCAGCTTTCTTGCTATGAACTTGGGCATGGGCAGCGTTTCCTGAATCTGTTTTCACCTGCTGCACGAACTGTGGATCGGCCCAATGTCGATGTCGTCTATAAACCTACATATGTACTAGTTGCGGTGCATGCGCTTTGCCACCAGTGTCAAAGCCACGGCCAGCACCTCCATCTGCCGATTCAAGTGTCGCCCAAATATTATATGTTCACTGCAAACAGAATACACAACGTTTTGGACTCTTGTCGAGCGAACAACTTTCACAACTATTAATCTTAAAATAATTATTCCTCTGTCCATCCAAGCAAAAATCGGGAAACAAAATCCCGATTCAAGTATCTAAACAAGCAACACTGGATAATATATAAAAGGATAAGCCAGCATCTAAAATAGATTTACGCACATCACAAAACCTAGAGAAGATTCTTCATAATGGAGTGCTGCTTATCGGAAGAGGCCAAAGAACAGAAGCGTATCAATCAGGAAATTGAAAAACAGCTACGCCGTGATAAGAAAGATGCTCGTCGCGAACTTAAACTGCTTTTACTGGGTGAGCTGTATAGTTTAACGACTTAGTCGGAGGTCCGAAAGAAAAACGAAAATTCAAAAAGATTGAACCCATTATGCACTCAAATTGCTCGACTACCCAATGAAGCCATGTGGATGCGCCTCTGAGGGAGGGTTGCTTATACTATTGCTATAAATATATGTTCTAGTAGGGGGTGAAACTAGAGACTGTCTACGGTTTTGATAGATTTTTTTCTTTTTTAAACAAATATCAATTAAATCATACATTTACTTTCTTCGGCATAGTGAAAGTAAATTTATAACATGTGCAATAAATTGTCATAAAATATATACGCAAATCAAATTCAATAATTCGGATAATTTTTATGTAACTAAGAGAAATATTATAGTTTATACATAATAATAGTTGCTTTAAAAGTCAGTAATTGCCGGTGAAATTAAAAGCATCAAACAGCGCCTCGAAGTATGCAGTGTAAATTTCCGTCTGCTTTTTATATGTGCAATGAAATTTGCAAAACAACGAAAAGAAAAAAAAAAAAAACAATTTGTTTTCTCCTTTAAACATTATTCTATGAATCTTCACAGGTACTGGTGAATCTGGGAAATCAACTTTTATTAAGCAAATGCGTATTATTCACGGCAGCGGCTACTCGGACGATGACAAGCGTGGCTATATTAAGCTGGTGTTCCAAAATATATTCATGGCCATGCAGTCAATGATCAAAGCCATGGATCTGCTCAAAATAGAATATGGCGCACCAGAGATTCGCGTAAGTGCCTACATTATATATATATGTACGTGTATATGTCTATACGTATATAATATAAATTTATAGGAATGTGGTGAGCTGGTGATGAGCATTGACTACGAATCTGTTACAAGATTGGAGGATCCATTTTTGAAGGCCCTACATTCTCTTTGGGACGATGCTGGCATACAGGAGTGCTATGATCGCCGAAGAGAATACCAGTTAACCGATTCTGCTAAATAGTGAGTGCAACTGAAACTGTTAATAAATGTATATGTGTTATATTAACAATGATTTCCCTATAGCTATCTGAGCGATTTGGCGCGTATTGAACAGGAAGATTATTTGCCCACTGAACAGGATATTCTGCGTGCTCGTGTGCCCACAACTGGAATACTGGAGTATCCATTCGATTTGGATGGCATCGTCTTCAGGTTTCGCTGTTTAAGATATGGACATTACATGGAGTAATTTTCATAATATTAAATCATTTATAGAATGGTGGACGTTGGCGGTCAGCGTTCGGAAAGAAGAAAGTGGATTCATTGCTTTGAGAATGTTACATCGATTATATTCTTGGTGGCGCTCTCTGAATATGATCAGATCTTGTTTGAGTCTGACAACGAGGTGAGATTAACTAGACTGCTCAAAATATAATTTGAAGTTTTCTCCATTTATTGTACTCAGAATCGTATGGAGGAATCGAAAGCTTTGTTCAGAACCATTATTACATACCCGTGGTTCCAAAACTCATCGATCATTCTATTTATGAACAAGAAAGATTTGTTCGAAGAGAAAATTATGTATTCGCATATGGGTGACTATTTTACTGAATATGATGGTGAGTAAGGGGTTAAGCCTGTTTAAATATTATTTATAAAGTTTTTTTTTTTTCTTTTTTTAACAGGTCCAAAACAAGATCACGCAGCAGCGAAGCAGTTTGTGTTGAAGAAATACCTGGCCTGCAATCCGGATCCAGAGCGTCAATGTTATTCGCATTTCACCACAGCCACAGGTTAAACCCTAATTTGTAGTTTTATGAATTATATATTATTAATTATTTACTATATATTTGCAAACAGATACCGAAAACATCAAGCTTGTGTTCTGCGCTGTCAAAGATACAATTATGCAAAATGCACTTAAGGAATTCAATTTGGGTTAAACGCGATCTCGAACGGCAGAGCTATCACCTAGATAGCAATGATATAGTTCTTAAACAACACCTTGACTTCTCAACAATATGTTTGCTTTGTTTTATCTAATTATAATTAAACTTCAATTGTCCATAGATTAGGTGTAAAATTCTTTATTTCAAACTTATCTTTTATATCTAAGCTAAAGTTTAAATTTAACACGTTTCACACATTCATGTAGCTCGACTAAAACATAATAACCGATTTCTTTTCCTTTTCGTACTGTATAACTTAATTATCACAATGACATAGTTTTTGTGTTTTATGATAAACAAATCTGAATTAAACATGCGGCAATACTTTCAGCAGTGGCCAAAAAAATAAACTTAACATTTCAAAAACAAAACGATTGCTAAACACGACTTGAGTATCACATGCACATCCAGAGTTCGAGACAATTGCATAACATTTTAAATAATAATAAACAGAACAACTCAATATAGAATAAAATTTCGAAACGTCTGCATGCTTTTTTGGCACTGATTGCACGTTGAAGAATCTTTTAAATAATCACAAAGTCGCTCAGGTTCCGCTCTGGCTGCACCATGCTGGCCGGCATGAGCTGTACCAGCTTGTTGAAAAGGTATGCGCGGCGGTTTTGCAGCTCACAATTGGCTTCGGTGCGCGCACGTTTTGTGCACGACGAGCCACTGGGACTGGATGTGGGCTCTGATATGCCCGAAGTCGCCAAGCTCTCATTTGACTCTAGCGAGATATTTTCAGCAGCACTCATTCCAACATTTTCTGTCATTTCAACTTAAATAGTTATTATAGATATTGGTTACTCAAGTTTATAAAGAAATACATGAAGAACTTACTTTTAGAGCCAACTCCCTCTGCACCGTACCCTTCGGTTTCAGCACACAGCTCGGGCGTAGCTCTGGGACTGCTAGAGTCTTGGCTGTTGTCGTGTGGTTTGAAGAGCAGTGAAGCCAACTTGTGAAACTGAAATAACGTTAATTGTTGAAATATTTAACTGTATGATTATTAGCTTTTGCTTACATTGTTCAACTGCTCAGTGTCAGTGTGATCTATAACATCAGCGATGTGATGTCTAAGATATTCCATCGCTTTTATCGGATCTGAACGTGTCATTTCCTCATACCGCAGCTTACGCACCAAATAGCGGCAATGTTTCAATATCTCCTCGCGTTTTGGCCTATAAAATATAAAATTTATTAGGATTTTCACAACTTTTAAGCGCATTAGAGTCAAGTACTTTTCCAAGTGCAGCAACCAGAAGTCATCCAAGCGCAGTTGCTGGTATTGAAATATGCCTGGATTACCACCAAACAGATAATGCGTCTTAGCTACCTCATCGTACACCAATTGATGAGCATATCGTGGACATGGCTCCAGTACATCGTCGCCTTTGCTGGCACCCAAAAAGTTGGCCTTATTAATGGAGTTCACGTCTTGAGCATTGTGTCGGCAGTAATAGATGCGCGACCATTTATGCGTGCGCAACGAATAAACCCAAAAAGAATTCGACGCATCTACATGATGCACATCGCGCCTGTCCTTAACTTTGTTAAGGCTCTGTAAAAGAAACAAACTAATTATAGAAAGAATCAGTGAAAGGACTCACTAACATACCGAGAATACGTAAATTTCATCGCGATCACAATCAATGGTAGCGCGCAATGTGTAGCCCGATGATGGCTCAAATTTGGCCTCAGTACTGGTATTGGTGCCGAGGTGCGAATGCTCCTTGTTTATCAGTGAAATGGCCTGTGAGTCCACATCGTAAGTAAGCAGCTCATCTAGATCCTCCTTCCCGCGTTGTCCACCGTAGATGTAAAGCTTTCGTTGTTTCTGTAAATCATAAATATTTAAAATATAAATGAAATATTATATTGAGAATATACATACATTATGGAAAACCATGCAGTGGGTAATTCGTGATTTAATTGACATAACATCTGCCTGCGATGCACTTGCATGATGACAATCTACGAGTATCTGCGTCCAGGTGTTTGTCGCAATATGATAAGAAAATAGGCCAGAGTATTCTGGCTCAGTCGAAGCCGTCGGGCTGCGCGGCGTCAGTATCTTGCCCCCAAACACATAAATCGTACGCTTATCGGCATCGATGCACATCTGGTGATCGTACACAAGCTGCGGACCACCGACTTGGCTGGTGTCATCACAGATTTGCATCCAATTACGGGCACGGGTGTCGTACAAGTAAAAATCACTTTTGATGTAATCACTGGTGCGTATTGAGTTGTCCAAATAGCGGCCCAGCATGAAGATATTTTCGCTGATTGGATCAAAGACCAGTTTGTGACAGGAGCGCGGAGTGGGTCCATTGGATAGCTCGGAGCGCTCACAGAGCAGCGTCCATTCGTCGAGTTCAATGCTGTACACCCACAAGTCGCTAAGATCTTGGTAGCCATCCCAACCACCATACAAATATATTAGACGCTTTTTGGCATCGACCACAAGCTGGTGGCCACCTCGGTTGCCAGGCTTTATCTCGCTTTGGGTGTACTTCATTTGCCAGTCATGCTTGTAGTCTTGCTTATTTAAATACTCATCCATTAGGCCGTCATCAATGCACTTTACAATGAAGCGCTCCGCCTGCTCGAAATCACCTTGCACCACCTGCAATGAGAAAATTTTAATAAATTTACCTTTTTTTTCGAATCTATTAACATTTATTACCAAGTATTTGTGCAATTCGCTAATGAGTGGGTGCTCGAGACGCACATTTGTTTGTTCCTGTAGCGCCCCAAAGGCTTTCATATAACCCTGCTGACGGAAGTGCTTGAGGCAAAGCTTAATTATCTCAGTTTCACGTAGCGTATTGTAGCTTTTCATTCGTGCACACGTGTACATGGGATCATCTTGGCCATGCAGTTCGATGTACCAGATACTGAAATTGAACGATGGTCCCCAAGACAACAATGGCACTATCTTCAGATAGAGAATGGGCAGGTTTTCGGCGCCATCCTCAGTCATGCAGCGTAAATTGAATACTTCAGGTATGTTATCATTTTTAAGACCACTGCGAAAAATCGAAATATAAGTAAATTTAAGAATAATAGAGCATTTATAGTTACATACGCTTCTAGCAAGAGCACCATGTGCTCATCTTCCAATCCACCAAACACGCGAAACTTCTTTATGTTGCACACGTGCGATTTCTCAAATTTACCAAATTTGATTTTTTTAACAATGGCGGGACGTCGGAGCTTCAGTGTGAGAAACTGTGGTGGGCTGTTCGTGTATGCGGACCATCGTGAAGTTTGATCATTTGGACAGTCGACGAGAACGTTTCTGAAATTCGCAAATGAAAACAAACAGTGAAAATACCCACAACATTGACAACGGCGACAGCTGCGCACTTGTCAACAATTACGAAATGCATGATATGGGCGGGACGCGTCTATTATGCACCTACATACATACATACATTTACATACATGTACATTTATGCACACGTACATACATTCACTCACACTCTTGCCAAGATCAATACATTTGTATGAGTGCATTTACAGTTAAGGAAACAACACCTAGGACTTACTCAGGCAAATAATTTGGGGAATAGCTGGAGTAACGGTAAATCTCGAAATTTAACCGTTCAGAGAGCGTAAAGGGTTTCTGCGTATTTGTCCCTGGCAGCACGGGCACAGCGCCATATGACATTGCTAGAGAGTCATTAGAACTGCCCGTTGGACTCGATGTGGTAGTCGTCGACGTTGACATCTTTGTTAAAACTTGAACACTTGTAGTGCAGGTAAATTTGTTTAGCGAGTATATAACTTAATTCTACTACCGGCTATGCAAAATAACAAAATACCAATTATCGTGCAATTCTTAAGTTATATTAAGCCATTCACAGCAAAGCGACGACACAATCAGCCAATCAACTATTATCGCGAATGCTCCACACATGACGAAAGTTGCTCGGCTCTTATCGAAGATTCTTTTTTACTGGTTCCAGTAAAATCTAAGCAAATCACTGTCTGGTCACTGGCAAATGAAACCAACGTATTTATATATTACTTATTATATTATTTAAATAAATCCATTTTAACCATAAGAAACAGATTTATTCATTAAAAAGAAATTTTAAATAATTTTGTTATGAATTCTCCACTGGGAAAATACCAGGCACTACATTTGAGACCACTTGTTAATATAACGATATATTTATCGGTCCTTATCGATAGAATCACGAAAGCATTTTCCATCTCTAGTCTTTCGTGGAATATTTACGAGCAGTTGCATTTCTTGCCGTGTTCACAAAAAGTAATTTGGTACCGGCTTTTTATTATTGTTTACTTTTAAAATGTCTTTTGATGCCATACCTAAAGATTTGCGGGGGCTACGCGCCTGCCTGGTATGCTCCCTTGTAAAGGTATGCATTACAAATTTGATTAGGACACGCCAACACATTTTAGTTTGCTCGCTCCTTTCCCATAGACTTTCGATCAATTTGAGACTGATGGCTGCGAAAATTGCGAAGAGTTTCTGCGTATGAAGAATAACAAGGATAATGTTTACGATCACACAAGCAACAATTTTGATGGCATCATTGCTCTGACAACACCCACAGACTCGTGGGTAGCAAAATGGCAACGTCTTTGTAAGAAACTCACAATTCAACGCTTAGACATAGCATAAATATTTACTTTCCGCCTTTACAGCACGCTTCACGCGTGGCATCTATGCCATCTCCGTATCGGGCACCTTGCCACAATCGACCATCCGCGAAATGAAGAACCGAGGAATTGCATACAAGACAAGAGATAGAAGTCAGCGCTAACAGGGGAATATTGCGTTTGGTGTATAAAAATGTAGTTTATTTTAAGCAATAACAAAACCACGAAAATACAACTAGAATAAAATACAGTTTTAAGTGAACAAGCTATCAATCATCCAGAGAGCTCACACGCAGTCCATCGCCGCCAGCTGTAGTGACATGCACACCAAAGCCAGCTACTTCCAACTCCGCCTTTAGTTTCCAGTATACCTCGTTGCATTCGTACTTCTCGGGCAGCAAAACAATGGCATAGCCACCAGCACCAGCGCCCGTCATCTTGGAGAAGAAGCCACGCTTGAAGGCAATTGTAAATATTTGCTCTAGTT